TATATATATATATATATATATGAATAAAATAAAAAGAACAATATCTATTCTTAGCCGACACATTTCGTTCTCTGAGGAACTTTATCAAAACAATAAGTGGCTCAGAGGGCGAAGCGCGTCGGCTAAGAATAGTTTTTCTATTGTCTTTTTATTCATTTTTTTTTTCATTACAGAAAAACTATTTTTCTATCGGAAAACAATTTTTCTACCAGAAAACAATTCACACACAGACACACATATATATATATATATATATATATATATATATATATATATATATATATATATATATATATATTAAAAATCCTTGCTTGATAGTAGCAGTGAACTAAAGAACTTAATAGTAGCAGTGAACTAAAGGACTGAATGACAGTTTCAGAACTTTTATATATATATATATATATATATATATATGACAGTTTCTGAACTTTATACACACACACACACACACACACACACACATATATATATATATATATATATATAAAGTTCAGAAACTGTCATTCAGTCCTTTAGTTCACTGCTACTATCAAGCAAGAATTTTTTTCTCCTGATGATCGCCATGCTCGTCTAATTGAAATAATAAAATAAAAAAATATTAATATACAACTCAGTGTGTCTGAAAATTTACATGTTTTAATATTTTTATTTTCAAAACACACACACACACACACACACACATATATATATATATATATATATATATATATATATATATATATATATATATATGTGTGTGTATGTGTGTGTCTGTGTTTTTTTTTTTTAAGCATTTCACCCTAGCAAGGCGGGAATCCACTAGCACTCAAGGGCTTACAGAGGATTTGGAGCGAGCAGGTAGAAATGATAGAGGAAAGGATGAGGAGAAGGGTAGTGGATAGATCAAGGTAACTGGAGATGTCGATTGACATTACATTTGAATAGTTGGAGATTTATAGCTATCAGGGAAACAGGAATAGGGATGGGAGTTCCACAGGCGAGAGGTGCGAGACATGAAGCTATTGGAGTAGAAGAGACGGCTACATTTAAAAGTTTCTACAGTGAAAGGGTGAGAGCGGGATGCCAGCCTCGTAGGACGCTTGAATTCGCGAAGCCTGGGAACCAGCGAAAGCAGCTCATCGGAGCAATTGCCATGAAAGTATTTGGAAAAAGACAGAGAGAGGCGACGGCACGTCTGTGAGAGAGCGACTGTAGACGAGATGCCAGATCGGGGCCAATTATATTGCATATCCGTCTCTGGATCTTATCAAGAACTCCGAGCCAAACAGAAGGGGCTCCAGACCATATATGGCAGCAATACTCCATGCAAGGGCGAATGGTTCATTTGTAGGTTTGAAGGATCGATTCCGGGGAGAAAAATTTCCTGGCGCGGCACAAGGAGCCAACTTTCCTTGCGGTGGACGAAGCAATTGACTTAATGTATTTGTTCCATCTCAGGTCAACAGACAAGGTGAGATCGAGCAGCCGCAGAGAGGTGCTCTCGGGAAGTTGAGCGTATTTAAATGAAATAAAAAAAAAGAACGATTTCGGTATTAAATAAGCCAGCCAGTGTCGAAATGTCTTGATATCTACCAACTTAACCCAATCCAATTCGTTTTCAGGTTTCTGATTTCTAGGAACTTTGAACAAAGAACTTTTTTCAGTCTCTGAGCAAGCCTGTTTATAATTATCATGATTCCTCGTCTATAAAGATACCAGAAACATAAAATTTAAATACTTGGTGTCCTATAATGATGAGACGCATTTTAAATGCAATTATCTTGGATTATAAAAACGACATAGAGTATCAAATATATGTATTTCATGATTGATATACGAGAGTTCAACATATTATCTGGGGTTTGGATATATGTGAATGTTAAAACCTTTAGTCCTTCTATCCTCATTATGTCAGTCAAAAATTTCAGTTACATTTCTTTTTGTTAGCAACAGGTTTCTTCTAGTTCAAAATTCCTAGCGGCTCACGTGATATCCGTCGTATGAATCGATAATACCAAATCTGCGTCATTTGATGATACATCTTCATCTGGGAGTACAATTCCTCTGGTTTCATTGCTATAAGAACATTATGGATTACACAGGATTTTCATATTTTCCTTGTGTGTATAAAAAGTCACCGGAAGAAGAATTTACAAGAAGAACGTTAAATAACAATCCAGCACGCTTTTTATTATTGCTAAGGCCATATAACAGTAGACATCAAATGTCTACCGCTTCAAGTTTCTTGTTCATCTTTGAAGACATTGTCCAGTATTCACTACCATATAAAAGATTATACATTACATAGCAATTCAGAACTCTTTTCTATGTTTCAAATGACGCTCATTCACATCTTTGTTGCTTCAACTCTCTATTTCATCTGTGAAGAGATTGTTAAGCATTCATTGCCCTAGAGGAGATTAGATATTACATAGCAGTCCAACACTCCTTTTCTTGTTTCTAAGGACATTCATCAGTAGAACCACATTTCTGTTGTCCCAACCCTCTTCTTCATCCGTGATGATATTGTCCAGTATTCATTGCCATAGAGGAGATTCGATATTACATAACAGTCCAACACTCTTTTCCTTGTTTCTAATGACATTCATCAATAAAACCACATTTCTATTGCCTCAAGTCTCTTCTTCATCTGTGATGATATTGTTCAGTATTCATTGCCATAGAGGAGATTAGATATTACATAGCAGACCAACACTCTTTTCTTTGTTTCTAATGACATTCATCAGTAGAACTAGTTTTTTTTGCTTGAACTCTCTATCTTATCTATGAAGAGATTGTCCAGTCTTCACTGCCATATAGGAGTTTCGATGTTAGTACCTTTCTTTGGTTCTAAGGACATTCATCGGTAGAACTAACTCTCTGTCGCTTCACGTTTCTTTTTCATTTGTGAGGGGATTGCCAAGCATACGTTGACATATAGTAAAATTAAATATTATATAGTTTGGTATTTATTCCATGTTTCCTAGGTATAGCAGTCCAGAACACTTTTATTTGTCGCTAGGGACATTCATCAATAGAACCACCTCTGCGTCGCTTCAAGTTTCTTCTTGATTTGTGAGGGGATTTCCAAGTATACGTTGACATATGGCAATTAAATAATATTAGTTTAGTATTTATTTTTTGTTTCCTAGGTAATGAAGTACAGAAATCTTTTATTTGTTTCTCATGACATTCATCAATAGAACCACATCTCTGTGGTTTCAAGTTTCTTCTTCATTTGTGAGGGGATTGCCAATAATACGTTGACATATAGTAAAATTAAATATATAGTTTAGTGTCTGTCTATATTTATGGACAGTATTTACTATTATTACTATTATTTTCTGAGTTTTCTCAGAAAACAGTCTGCCTGCCTTATGTGAAGGGGTTATCAGAGAAAATACAAAGGATCTGTGGTCCATATAACATCAGGACAACCTTCAAAAGCGTGACAACACTTCGCAGATATCTCCCTCGATTGAGACCCCCCCACAGAGGAGAACATGACTAAAGACTGTGTGTACGCTATTCCGTGCAGCTGTGGAAAGGAATATAAAGGCGAGACAGGACGCCCCCTCAAGGTAAGGCTTCAAGAACACCAGAAAGCTGTAACGCGAGTGGAAGTAGAAAAATCAGGCGTGGCTGACCACATATGGAGAGAGAAGGGAGATCACTATCCCCTGTGGGATCATGTTGAGATCATAGACATGGAACACCACTGGAAAATTCGTAAACTTAAGGAATCAGCACATATTCTAGGCCACAAAAATCTCCTGAGCCGACCAAGCATAGAAATAAATACAATATGGGAACCAGTAATAAGGAGTGCCAGAGAAAAGCAATAATAACAAAGTTGCAATATGAGCTCTGGTAAAAACTGCAAGGATAACAGCAAAATTGCAATATGAGCACTGGTAAAAATGGTTGCTGAAAACATTAGTTTTATAATACCCAGAAATTCATACCCAGATGTCCTCAAGGACACATGGCACAGTGGATAAAGGCGTTGGTTAGATCCAGTGACAGACCCAAAGAGTGTGAGTTCAATACCCGGTTAAGAAGTGGAGAACTTTCAGAGGGAAATTAACAGGAGATAACTGATAACTGACATCCATCAAATATGGCACGTGGAACTAGAACAGTCTACCCCAGTGAGTGAAATAAAGGGTTCTGTTCGAAATTCCAACCACCTGAAGAAGGAACGTTGTGATAAATATGGTGACAATGATGAGGACAATAGTCCGAATAATGTAAATACTGTATATAGTTTAGTGTTCTTTGTTTCCAAGGTATTCGTTAATAGAACCACTTCTCTACCCCTTCAAGTCTTCTTTATCAGTGAAGAGATTGTCCCGCATTCACGGCCATGTAAGAGATTAGATTTATATTTCTAAGGACATTCATCAATAGAACCACATTTCTGTAGCTTGAAGGTTCATATTCATTTTTGAGAATATTATGAAATATTCACTGTCATATAAGAGATTGGATTTTAAGACATTTTTATGTTTAACATTTTTATGTTGTTTAATACTGTTTATTATAAATAGAGTATTTACTTAAATATTTGTATCTATAAAGAGAATATTAAACATAAAAATGTCTTAAAATAATTGTCGGACTTTGTCCATTTCATAAGAGATTGGATGTTGCACAACAGCGTTCTTTACTACTACTGTACTGATGCGGCATTCACCCTGGGCGGATTGAGCCGGCTTCTTCCTGTTATGAGAAGAAGATTCTTAGGATAAATTACAGAAGTAGGGTACCCAGGCCTACTCGGATAACGTTCTTGCTTGCCGCGGGGTTCCCACAGACGCAGAGACAGGAACGACCAGAAGCCGCCGGTTACCGATGCAGACGCTCCTTGGATTTTCACCAGAGCCCTTGTTAGCCGGCGTGTGTGTCAGACTTGTCCGTCTTGGGTGGCCCTACCAGGAACGAAGTTCCGGGCGGCATAGCTCTGACACTACCGTTTACACCCCCCCACCGACTGTGAGGTAAGGGTTGGACTTTGGGGGCTTACAGTACCAGGTGTTCCCAAGCGGTCCCCCAAGTACTGACCTGGCTCTACGATGCTTAACTTCGGTGATCGAACGAGAACCGGTGTTTTCAGCGTGATTTGACCGTTTTAAGAACATTTATCAGTAGACACACCATTACATCCCTCCTCATCTCATCATCGTCTGTGAGGGGATTGTCCAGGATTGATCTGCTTTTTTTTACGACTTAAAAATCTTTTCCGAAATATTTAAAGCCAAAATATGTTTTTATATTGTAAGATTTTATTTTTTTTAAATTATAATGATTTTCATTGATGAAAGTTTTACTAAATAACCCCTAGCTGGAGAAGAGGTTGGAGTCATACCTTTCCAATGGGTATATCCGCGTTGGTGAATATAAATAACCTGACTGGGATTGGAACAAGTCTCTCCGATTTCCTAATTTGTGCTGTTATCCATTAAGTCGCCAGCATATCCAGGCTTGCAGCACCTGCTATTCCCTGTCACTCATCTAGGTGCTGACCATGCTCGACGCTGCTTAACTTTGAACGTGCGAAGGCCGTAAACCCGATTGTCCAGAACATACTACTGCATAGGTCATTATATAGCCGTGCATTCATATTTTATTTCTTATGTATCATCATTCTTATCGTAAGACACAGTTTACAAATGTCAAAGATAAATACTTATTTTTCAATGTTAGCAGATATTAATCACTTGAGAGATTGTCGAAATACAGTCTTCCACAAATTTTCTTCAATCTTCAACTTTCTATTGTATTATGATTTTTAAAATATATGTGCATCTGATATTTTTAAATCTGGTATTCCCAAACAGTCACCCATCCAGATTGAAGGCCAGGCTCGACGTTGCTTCTCTTTCAACGTGGTATGGCCGAAAACCTGATTGTCCAAGGTACGCTACCACATAGGATATTACATTGCCGTGCATTCATGTCTTTTTTGCTCTTATGGATTATTTTTTCATCATTAGACAGTTTACAAATGTCGATGGTATATAAATTATTCTTAATGATCTCACTTGAGAGACTGGCGCAGTACAGTCTTCCTCAAATTTCGTTCAATCTTCAACTTCAATCGTACAAAGATTTTTAAAATATATGTGCATCTGTGATTACCAAACGGTCACCCATTTAGGTACTGGCCAGGCTCGACGTTGCTTATCTTTCAACGTGGTATGGCCTTAAACCTGATTGTCCAAGGTACGCTACCACATAGGATATTACATTGCCGTGCATTCATGTCTTTTTTGCTCTTATGGATTATTTTTTCATCATTAGACATTTTACAAATGTCGATGGTATATAAATTATTCTTAATGCTCTCATTTGAGAGACTGGCGCGGTACAGTCTTCCCTCAAATTTCCTTCAATCTTCAACTTTCTATCGTACAAAGATTTTAAAATATATGTGCATCTGTGAATACCGGAACGGTCACCCATTTAGGTACTGGCCAGGCTCGACGTTGCTTATCTTTCAACGTGGTATGGCCTTAAACCTGATTGTCAAGGTACGCTACCACATAGGATATTACATTGCCGTGCATTCATGTCTTTTTGCTCTTATGGATTATTTTTCATCATTAGACAGTTTACAAATGTCGATGGTATATAAATTATTCTTAATGCTCTCATTTGAGAGACTGGCGCAGTACATTCTTCCTCAAATTTTCTTCAATCTTCAACTTTCTATCAAAGATTTTTTAAAATATATGTGCATCTGTGATTACCAAACGGTCACCCATTTAGGTACTGGCCAGTCTCTACGTTGATTATCTTTCAACGTGGTATGGCCTTAAACCTGATTGTCCAAGGTACGCTACCACATAGTATATTGCATTGCCGTGCATTCATGTCTTTTTTGCTCTTATGGATTATTTTTTCATCATTAGACAGTTTACAAATGTCGATGGTATATAAATTATTCTTAATGATCTCACTTGAGAGACTGGCGCAGTACAGTCTTCCTCAAATTTCGTTCCATCTTCAACTTCAATCGTACAAAGATTTTTAAAATATATGTGCATCTGTGATTACCAAACGGTCACCCATTTAGGTATTGGCCAGGCTCTACGTTGTTTATTTCAACGTGGTATGGCCTTAAACCTGATTGTCCAAGGTACGCTACCACATAGGATATTACATTGCCGTGCATTCATGTCTTTTTTGCTCTTATGGATTATTTTTCATCATTAGACAGTTTACAAATGTCGATGGTATATAAATTATTCTTAATGCTCTCATTTGAGAGACTGGCGCAGTACAGTCTTCCTCAAATTTTCTTTCAATCTTCAACTTTCTAAATTAAAGATTTTAAATATATGTTCATCTGTGATTACCAAAATTTAGGTACTGGCCAGGCTCTACGTTGCTTATCTTTCAACGTGGTATGGCCTTAAACCTGATTGTCCGGTACGCTACCACATAGGATATTACATTGCCGTGCATTCATGTCTTTTTGCTCTTATGGATTATTTTTTCATCATTAGACAGTTTACAAATGTCGATGGTATATAAATTATTCTTAATGCTCTCATTTGAGAGACTGCAGTACAGTCTTCCTCAAATTTTCTTCAATCTTCAACTTTCTATCGTACAAAGATTTTTAAAATATATGTGCATCTGTGATTACCAAACGGTCACCCATTTAGGTACTGGCCAGTCTCTACGTTGATTATCTTTCAACGTGGTATGGCCTTAAACCTGATTGTCCAAGGTACGCTACCACATAGTATATTGCATTGCCGTGCATTCATGTTTTTTTTGCTCTTATGGATTATTTTTTTCATCATTAGACAGTTTACAAATGTCGATGGTATATAAATTATTCTTAATGATCTCACTTGAGAGACTGGCGCAGTACAGTCTTCCTCAAATTTCGTTCAATCTTCAACTTCAATCGTACAAAGATTTTTAAAATATATGTGCATCTGTGATTACCAAACGGTCACCCATTTAGGTATTGGCCAGGCTCTACGTTGCTTATCTTTCAACGTGGTATGGCCTTAAACCTGATTGTCCAAGGTACGCTACCACATAGGATATTACATTGCCGTGCATTCATGTCTTTTTTGCTCTTATGGATTATTTTTTCATCATTAGACAGTTTACAAATGTCGATGGTATATAAATTATTCTTAATGCTCTCATTTGAGAGACTGGCGCAGTACAGTCTTCCTCAAATTTTCTTTCAATCTTCAACTTTCTATCGTACAAAGATTTTTAAAATATATGTTCATCTGTGATTACCAAACGGTCACCCATTTAGGTACTGGCCAATCTCTACGTTGCTTATCTTTCAACGTGGTATGGCCTTAAACCTGATTGTCCAAGGTACGCTACCACATAGGATATTACATTGCCGTGCATTCATGTCTTTTTTGCTCTTATGGATTATTTTTTCATCATTAGACAGTTTACAAATGTCGATGGTATATAAATTATTCTTAATGCTCTCATTTGAGAGACTGGCGCAGTACAGTCTTCCTCAAATTTTCTTTTCAATCTTCAACTTTCTATCGTACAAAGATTTTTTTAAAATATATGTTCATCTGTGATTACCAAACGGTCACCCATTTAGGTACTGGCCAGGCTCTACTTTTGCTTATCTTTCAACGTGGTATGGCCTTAAACCTGATTGTCCAAGGTACGCTACCACATAGGATATTACATTGCCGTGCATTCATGTCTTTTTTGCTCTTATGGATTATTTTTTCATCATTAGACAGTTTACAAATTTCGATGGTATATAAATTATTCTTAATGCTCTCATTTGAGAGACTGGCGCAGTACAGTCTTCCTCAAATTTCCTTCAATCTTCAACTTTCTATCGTACAAAGATTTTTAAAATATATGTGCATCTGTGATTACCAAACGGTCACCCATTTAGGTACTGGCCAGGCTCTACGTTGCTTATCTTTCAACGTGGTATGGCCTTAAACCTGATTGTCCAAGGTACGCTACCACATAGGATATTACATTGCCGTGCATTCATGTCTTTTTTGCTCTTATGGATTATTTTTTCATCATTAGACAGTTTACAAATGTCGATGGTATATAAATTATTCTTAATATCTCATTTGAGAGACTGGCGCAGTACAGTCTTCCTCAAATTTCCTTCAATCTTCAACTTTCTATCGTACAAAGGTATATGTGCATCTGTGATTACCAAACGGTCACCCATTTAGGTACTGGCCAGGCTCTACGTTGCTTATCTTTCAACGTGGTATGGCCTTAAACCTGATTGTCCAAGGTACGCTACCACATAGGATATTACATTGCCTTCATGTCTTTTTTTGCTCTTATGGATTATTTTTTCATCATTAGACAGTTTACAAATGTCGATGGTATATAAATTATTCTTAATGATCTCACTTGAGACTGGCGCAGTACAGTCTTCCTCAAATTTCCTTCAATCTTCAACTTCAATCGTACAAAGATTTTTAAAATATATGTGCATCTTGATTACCAAACGGTCACCCATTTAGGTACTTTTCTACGTTCTTATCTTTCAACATGGTATGGCCTTAAACCTGATTGTCCAAGGTACGCTACCATAGGATATTACATTGCCGTGCATTCATGTCTTTTTTGCTCTTATGGATTATTTTTTTTCATCATTAGACAGTTTACAAATGTCGATGGTATATAAATTATTCTTAATCTAAATCTCATTTGAGAGACTGGCGCAGTACAGTCTTCCTCAAATTTCCTTCAATCTTCAACTTTCTATCGTACAAAGATTTTTTAAAATATATGTGCATCTGTGATTACCAAACGGTCACCCATTTAGGTACTGGCCAGGCTCTACGTTGCTTATCTTTCAACGTGGTATGGCCTTAAACCTGATTGTCCAAGGTACGCTACCACATAGGATATTACATTGCCGTGCATTCATGTCTTTTTTGCTCTTATGGATTATTTTTTCATCATTAGACAGTTTACAAATGTCGATGGTATATAAATTATTCTTAATGATCTCACTTGAGAGACTGGCGCAGTACAGTCTTCCTCAAATTTCCTTCAATCTTCAACTTTCTATCGTACAAAGATTTTTAAAATATATGTGCATCTGTGATTACCAAACGGTCACCCATTTAGGTACTGGC